CAGTTTATATATAGTCTTTTAAAAAGAAACGACAGCAACAGAAATGAGAACCAAATATATTTTGCATTTTTCTCTCAGTGTGTAAGCCTGCATCACCTTACTTAGGCTATAGGCGAAGGAAAAATATAAAAAGTCACTCCCATTGACTATTTTCTCAGCACCTCATACAGTAGCAAATACAGAAAGGGTACTTATGAAACATTTGTAAGGAGTTGAGTGAATGATAAAAAGCAAAAAGCAGTTCTTGTGTGCGTAGTCTCAGTATTACAGACAATAAATTCTGACCTTTGAATTCACATAAAAGATGCAATGGAAAAACAATTTAACATGGATGCTGCACTAGAGGATTAACAGCTGAATTCAGTTTATTTCTTAAAAAGAAAAGAAAGGCGGGAATGCAGGCAGCCGGTTCAGAGAAACAGCCAGGGCTTTTTTGCATGACATGGAAAAACCAGCAAGTCAATGTGTGAAACGTGCATACTAATTTCTCATCTTCTTAAACTCTAAAAAGCCCCACAATCTTGTTAGCACTAAGCCTGGATGAAATTGTGTTAAGATATCTGATTAGTCTCCCTTAGTTGGCATTTTCCAAAGGAAAACAAAAAGTAACCTGTTTTATTTCGGTCAGACATGGCTTTGGGTATCAGAGAAATGCAGCTCTGACACCAGCTGCACCTGCAGAAGCCCGGACATGCTCCTGCAGCTCATCAGAATGCAAGTGGGAGAGCAGGCCAGCAAGCAAGCATCCTCCTGCACCCACATCCATTAGCCAAATGATTACATCTCCATCAGCCCGGTGGTGTAATAAAGCAATTGTAATAGGGCATTGTTACAGGATCAATGTTTCCTGGTTTAAAAATAAACATCAGCATTTATCTAGCAGCACAAAGCGATTCTCCCACAGTACGGTTTTATTCAACTGACATCTTTTAATCAAAGCAATCCATATCGTGGTAACATTCCAAGGTATCATAATTGCAAATATTTATGGCAAGTTAGATAATGGCTACATTTTTGTTGCTACATTTTTCTTCCTTTTCTACAGATTTGATGCAGACATTTTCTAATAAGTTAATTCCATTAAAAAGATCTCAAGTAATTATATTCAAGACAACCTCTCATCCGCCACCTCCATCGGTTTCCCTTTTAACTATTATGCATAACTGCTTATGTGAGTTCATGTCTTTTAAATTTTTCAAAATACCTCTGTAATGAAGATAAATTAAAACAAAGCCCCTATTGTTAAGTGCCATAGATATTGCTAAAAACATGGCACGGAGGGAGGCCAGGGCCCCTCGGCACAGGTATGGGTCAGCTCCTGCACCCCAGCTAATGTTCTTGGTGGCTGAGCCTCACGTGCTAAGTATGTGGCTAATGGGATTCAGAGGCTGGAGGAAGTCTGTGAAGCTGGCAGCAGACCCATTCCCACAGCCTCCCAAGCTTGCCTCTCAGCTGATGCTCCTTATCAGGGCTCCTATTACCTGCTCCTTTGGCTGATTTCCTGGAGAAACGCAGTGCTAATTCAGGGAGAGGCCTGAGACATCAGCAGCTCAGCTGTTTTCAAACCTCAGCAGGCCGCTTCTGTAATACCAATTTTAATGAACTGCCCTCATTCACATTTAATTTACAAATTATGTAAAGCCTCCAAGTAAAGTGCTTCTATCATCTCCTTGCCGAGTCAAAATGGTAATATTCTTTATAAAGCCCCCAAAGTCACTCCCCATGAGCACTGGGCAGAGATCTTCAGGCAATGAGAAAACGGAAAATGCACTTTTTTTCAACGTCTGGAGTGTGTTGAGTTTCCAAAAGAAAAAGAAACTGAACTACAGTCTTAATTCTACTTACTTTAGTTTGAAAACAACTGAATAAAGTAGGGAGGCAGGCACATAAAAGATGTACAGATGGGCAGAGCAGCTAAGGCAGGAGGGTTTATCCACTCAGTTCCCTGGAGCAGATTTTCAGAGCTGAAATGCTGTCTTTGCAATGCAGGCCTTACAGGGACTGATTTAGTTCTAAAAAGTTGCCCAATTTCACCTCCTGGAGCCTTTATTTCTTCACATGCAAAACAGAGCCATCAACCCCCGCACCCCAAGTCACAGTTGTAAGGATTAAGTTCAATGAACGAATGTATTGGAAATGTTCTATACAGGTAAGGAAACAACAGTAACTTTCTTGAAAAGGTTCCTATCAGAACAGATCTGAGGAAGGTGGGTGGTACGGAGAAGGCCTTCTCCAAATCCAATCAGGTCACAGAAACTTGAGGGACCCAATTTGCATAGGGCATGCGTGATCTCAAAGCTGCTCTTGATGTTACCGAAGAATGTGTTGGCCTTATGGGATTTGTGTGTCATGAACTAGAGTCACCCGTCTGTACTCTGGAGGGGGCTTTCTAAATACAATGCCATTCCTGCTTATCTCTGAGAAGACTCCTACTCAACAACAGCAAACATGGCCCCGAGCTTAATTCAGAGTGGTCTCCTCAGGGTGGTAACTTTTGATTCACCCCATAGTTTAGCTTAGTTCTCCTTCTGGCCAGACAGCAGGAGCAGGGGCAGGGGAAGCCACGATGTGAGGCCCTTGAACGAAATGCCATCTCCAGCAGGGGGAAGCAGTTGCCTCTACACTGAGATGGTCTCAGGTTAAATGTTATCCAGGTGTTCAAAGTGACACTTAGAAGCCCAAGACCGCTATCTCTGGATATACATATTTTCAAACTACAACAAGAAATGGACCAGTCCTTTAGAGAAGGAGCTGAAAATAACAAATGGCATTGTATTTTGGCATGGATTCTGGATTGCAAATACAAAAATTTGTGTGTGCAAAAAGTATAGGCAAGATTTGAAAACTGTCAAGCTACTGACATACGGCACATATGCTACACATGCACACATGCATGCACACACTCACTTGCACATGCTCACTTGCACACACACAGCCTGTTTTCAAATTAATTTGAAAGGCTCTTCAGCTCTGAGCTCTCACTACATCCAGTTCTATCTGACTCAACACAGCCCGCAAGCTGGGCACTGATATCTTTTGATAGCAATTCTGTTCCTGGGATTTGTTTGAAAGCATTTAGGTTTTCACGGATCACTAGAGGTTCTTCATTTTTCCCCCTTCTGTGTTATGCAGGTATAAGCCATCTCTCTAGGCATGAACTGTCCACTGGTAAAAATCAATTTTGATTTTATCAGTATGTATTACTGCCAGTGCCAGCAGTTTAGAAGACTAGAGAGGGAAAACATGCAAACTAGGAGGAGAAAAACATTCAAGCCAGTTCCTCACACCTACAAATAATACAGCCTACTGCCTTTAAGAGGTATTTTGTATCATGCCAAGGAAGCTTAAATTATCAATTTAAAAATTCAATCAATAAAAACTTTCAGGATTCTGTCACTGCTTCCGTCTCTTCTGTATTTGTGAGCACTATGGCTGGAATTTCTGAAGCCAGGGCCATCCTCTCTGAGGTGCCGTGGAGCCCGTAACTGCGGGAGCAGAGTGGAGGGCAGCCTGGCTGCAGCTCCCCCATGCACACTGCCCGGTGGCACCTTACCCAGCCTCGCTCTTTCCATGTTTCATCCTGATTATCTGACTCTTAACCTCGTGGGGCAGGGAAGGCTTTTGTGACAGGCCCCGTATTAACCTTCTCTTTGCCTTCCTCTCTTTTTTTCATTATGTAATTCTAGGAAAGACACCCTAAATGTGCATGCATCCCCAAGTTCTCCAGAGCCGCACCTGCTCCACATTCTTTCTTTTCCTGGCACATTTTTGGCTGCCAGGATGACTGAGAAATAACCAACCTTCCCACTACTCACCTGCTTCTCTTTCCCAGGAGTTTCCTTCTGCCATTCAGTCAAAAGCCCCACAAACATTCACCACGTCCTAACCTCTAGAAGGAGAGAGACTTCAGAGGATGATTAGCCGCAACCAAAATACCCACATCCTCTGAGAAGCTGAACACCTTCTCCTAGATGTACACAAAACTCTTAAATCATGTTCAAAGGTCTAAAACAGAGTAGTTGCCCAGATAATTCATTTCAAGAACTGTCACAGACTCAGGCCAAATCCTGTGACCTGGCTGTTTTGTGAATAAGGTTTTATCAGAACACACAGCCATATCCTTTAAAAATAAATAGAGCCCTGCTCTAGTGTAATGCGGCTGTACTGCACACCTAGGCACTGTTGGGGGCCATCTAAGCACTCTCTTGTCAAGGACATGAGGGCCTGGAAGTTACAGAAACACTTAACCGGCTGCAGCACCTCCAATTAGCAAATGTCAGTCCCCTCTGGAAAATTAGGTGGCAGAAGGCGTGTCTTACCGCTCGGTCTTTTCACTCCCATGGGGGTCCACGTGGGAAAAATGCTGGAGATGAATTCATACTGGGGTGGCCTCCTGTCTGCATATTCAACGCAATCCATGGTGACTGGGTAAGAACTAGGTCTGCTCACCACTTCTGTGAGTACCTGGGATTTAAAGTGAACTTTTTTCATGAAGACAGGAAGTTACTTACTCAGACCAGCCGGACTTCCACTTCACCAGTTTCAAGAGCCATGACCCAACTTGACAGAGCCAGGCTTAGGAGCAATGTGACTCGATGTATGTGACTTCTAAGGACTGCCTTCATTCTGATGAACCTGTCCTCTCAAGCCTGTGCACACAGTGGGACTGTACCCAGCATGCCTGTCACTAGTTTCAATGGCATGGTTCCCTGACCTAGCAGAGAGGCTTTTTACTGAAGGCCAAAGCAATGGAAGGCCAAGGGTGACCAGGTGCTTAGATATTCAGCAGTTTTATTTTTTCATACTGTCAGTTGAAAATAAACAAAAAATACACACACACACACACACACACACACACGCACGCACACACGTATAGTTAAATCATTAAATAAGTATTTCTCAGTGAAAGGGCTCATTTTAAAATCAACCTTCCAATGGCAAAATAATAAAAACAATAACATAATTCCCCTCACACAGCAAATTTGACAAAATGACAAAAGAACTCTTAATTTTGGGGCTTTATTATAATTTTTGTTTTCAAGATACTACATAGTCAAACAGAACTGGATTGGTCTTTTATGGCATAAAATTAATTCACAGTCAAACTCCCAACTAGGTACTAGATGGATTCGCTGAAGAGGCTCTCTCCCACTGCTCCCACCCCCAACTGCTGGTGCCCTCGCTTCTAGCTCTCTGCAGCCTGATCCATTCGCCCTGACTCGAAGCTAAGACCCCAAGGGGAGGTCAGGATCAGACTTGGACCTGGGTGCTGGAAGTATAAGTAACGACTGAGAGGTGGTATAAAAACAATCTAGAAGACTTGAGTACTCTTCATTTAAAAAGGTAACCTAGAGTTGACTGTCACTACTGAGAATTTCCCTCCCAATGACAGTTGTTATTTACTGACCCAGAAAAACACTTCCTGGCAGCTCTTCTCCAACATTCCAATAAACCCCACCTCCACATGACCAGGCTCTCCAGAGACAGAGGAGCCCACAGTCCTCCAGCAGCAATACCAGTTCACCCACCAGAGTTTGGCAGCACGCAGCATTAACTGTACTCTTGTGACAATAAGAAAACATGAGATGAAATACATTAAATAAGTTAAGTATGCATTAAACATCTCGGAATAACAGTACAACTTCACTACATGAACCAATAAAAATTTAGCTTGGTCCCTTTAAGAGAACAAAGCATTGCCATTTATTTCCAAAGCATTGGGTCAATCAGTCAACACACGCCTCTCACTCATGATGGGTACGTCTGATGCTGCCACAGTGCAATTCCTTTGGGCTTCTGACTCTGTTCATCAGTCCCAAGGAGCTGATGGCTTGGACAGAACTGAAGACACGGAAAGCAGCCTGGGGCAGGAGTGGGCCACGTGGGGACTACTGTGTGGAGCTGACCGCACTCCCCACCACGCTGGGCTCCAGCTCTCCACGGGCCGGCACCGACAGGCGAGGAAGAGTGTCTTGTTTTAAGAGAGGTAATCCAGCATCACGTACCAAGGCCTACCAATGTTTAAGATGACGTTTACACTATGCCATTGTGGCATTACTCATGGTTTCCCTCGTCATTAATAAAGATCATTCTTCCCCCCCAATCATTTACTATACATTTTTAACTTTCTAAAAGATCGTTATATTATATTTGTGTGTGTGTATCTGTGTATGTGTGTGCAGGGTGGGGTAATTTAAAGGCAAGACCTGTGAGATGTCATCATACATTAATTTCTTTTTACACATGGTTATGATAAATTTAAATCCCATGATATGGTGGATCCATCAATCCAATTTACCATCCTGTGCATGCTACCTCTACAAGGCAATCTTCCCAATAATTACACCAACGATAAAGAATAAAACCACCAGAGCCAAGAGCCGGGTGCTAAGGCCTTCTTCCTTCCCAATTGGGGTTAACACGGAAATGGGGCTGTTGCTCTGCACTGTCTTCCTCATCCGCAGTCCATCTTCTTCCTGAGGGAGCAAATGCACATTTCAAAGACAATCCAAGGCACCAGAAAGGGGAGTCAACTGTACAGCTTAGCAGGATAGGCTGTTTATGCCCAGTGTTGGAGGACATGATACGGTCCAACCTCATTTTGCAAATGGAGAAACTGCAGGCTACAGAGCAGAAGGGACTAGCCTGAAGCCACTGAGAAAACAGTCCCCTCTTTTATTTCATACATTCCAGTTGATGCTGCTAGTTATAACACAAATCTAAGCAGGGTGCTCCTTGGTTTCCCATGATTTACAGAAAAAAGCTTTTAAATGGGTCAACTAGGCCCTTTGCAGCCTCAGCCCCATCCACCCTTATGGCCATGTCTTCAGATGCTTTTCTTTAACCTCAACCTCTCTGTCCTTCCTGCCTCTAATGAATAGGCTTCCTTGATCAAATCATCATCAATTTTTAAAATCATAGGCATTTCCAAAGACATAAATATACAAATCATGAGAATCTACTAAGTCAGCTGGGCACTTTGGGAGGTTGAGGCAGGTAGATCACCTGAGCTCAAGAGTTCGAGACCAGCCTGGTCAAAATGATGAAACCCCACTTTTACTAAAAATACAAAAATTAGCCTGCATGGGGCAACACAGTGACATTCCATACAAAAAAAAAAAAAAAAAAAAAAAAAAAAAAAGAATCTAAAAGTGGGACATCTGGAAGCTTTCAAATGAAGAGCTCTGTACTCTGTACATAGCTGGTACTTGATGAGTTACAAACAGACTGCTGGATCTAATGACATTTGGAATATTAAAATGTGGCTGGCCTTGGTACACTCATCTCAAACAGTTTCTACTTAATGCATAGATTTATCATTGAAGAAACAACATTCTTTTTCATACATATAAAAATGCTTGACCATATTCCCCACACCCCCCCTTGTCCCCAACTACATGGATGTGCAAGAAATCAAAAATGTTTTCTTCCTTCACCTCCACTGCCACAACTGCCTTGCACTTTCCTAACAATCTGCAAGTTACTATTTAGATCTACGATGCCATTTCCATGCCCTCAAAGCCACGTCCACATCCCTGAAGAGGGACATGCATCAAGGCCATTTCTATTCTGGCCCAGACTTACCATGGCTGCCAGATCTCTTGCTGATCACCTCATCTACTCACCCCTAAACCCCACACACCAGCTGTACTTTCTTTTATCTCCTCCCATGCTCTCCCATCCCCCTGAATACCGAGCAGGTCCTAAGGCAGGTGAGTCCCGGGGCCGACTCTCCTTGCAATTTGTTGCTACCTCTGTGGGACATTTATCACACTGGCTTGTAATCATCTGTCTGTGTCTCTCCCTGCTAACCCATCACCAGAGAGCTCCCCAAGGGCAGGAACTGTTCGTGTTTGAATCCACAGTGCCAGGCACATATTAGACCCTCAGTAAATTTGTTGGAGAGATGACAGAATAAACCAACACAAAACAAAAAGCAGTGTTTGGCAGGATAAAGAATCTTCTAATGTCGAGATTGGTCTGATAACATTTTGAGGATATTCTGCTCTTGGGGCATAGCCAGTATCACTGCACAATGATAAACAACTGGTGTTCGACTGGCTTGAAAAAAAAAATGGGCACGGCAAACTACAGCATTTATTTTATTGGGTTTATATAGAAGCTATTTCTACCTATTTATCTCTTTAAACAGCACAGAACTCTGTTTCTGAAGAGAAATACACTCGAGGAAAAGCTTTAGGTATAGCTTAGATTTTTAGCTAAAAAGTAGTGTCAGCTTCACAATTTATTCCACACAAAAGAAGTTACTGATTGAGCCAAATCAAGATCACTGCAAAGGAAGACGATACTCAGTTCTCCTAAATCTATCTCATCATCAGAATAAGAGAGAAGGAAAAGTCAAGTTATATGAATTTATTGTATGTACCTGGCTGTAGGGTAGTTTAAGAATGAAAGCCTATTACATGCTTGGGTGACATGATCAAGATTAAGGAAACAGGCCTAAAAATGTAAGCTGCAACAAACATTTCTATAATCTGATGTTCAGAAATGTTCTCTTCAATACCATGTCTAACACAAACTCATACTTTTAAAGCTGGAAGGTGCCTTAGAGGTGTTTAGCAAACAAAGGCCTAAGACATGCTGTGACCAGCACAGATTCAGAGCTGTTTCAAATTGGATGAGAGCAACTTCCACACCACTACAGGCCTCTAAGCCAAAAGAAGCACCCCCTGCCTCCCTTCACCACTCAGTACAATTCAACCTTCCACTGCCAATGCCAACTGCTTCATCAACGAGCTAGAGGCTCAGGTTTTCCTTCCATAATCCCCACCTCCCATCCACTGTGAAGCATTCCACCTCCAATCTCATCATGACACCAATCAACAGTTTGATGAGCCATGGCTGCCCAGACCTATTTAGAGTCTTCTAAAATCAGAACTATACCTGCATTAAAACAGAGTATAGGTCAGTATTTACCCTCTAAAAAAAAGAGATTCTCACTCAAGTGAATGGGGATGGCATGGGGTTTAAAAATGCATATTCAAAATAAAAACTGCTATTTTGGTCTCAACATTTACTTTCAATTTATACTAATGGAGAGTGTGAGATTTTTGTTTGTTTTTTTTTTAAAGGGGACAAGGGCTTAAACAGTTGAGAACTTCTGATCAAGGGACAGTGGCTCTTAATTTAGGCAGATCCAAGGACCCTTTTGAGAATCTGATGAAAGCTATGGAAATTTCTTCCCAGGGAGGAAAAAAATAGGCAAATGCCAAAAGCAAAAAGAAATCTATATATTCACTGGTTCATCAACTTCCTCATGCAAGATCCTAGTGAAAACGCCCTTGTTCTCTGTAGATTACCAGAAAATAAACTATTACCTTGAACTGCTTGTTCTCCTCCCGTAGCCTCTGAACTTCACCTTGCAGCCTCTTACATTCTTCCATAACCTTCTTAACTTCGGCGTCATCCAAAGAACTCAGAGACTTAGACACTGTTGGTGTTTCTGTCTTTGATGCAGTTGTGGATATAATTTTATTTATTTCTACATCAAGCTGTTCAAAAATAAATGAAAGCCTAAGTGTCACCAGCCATGTAATAAAGGACTTTTTTATGCAAAGTAGTTGCATACACCAAATGTGGTAGCATTTCATCCACACTGTAAAATGTCACATTTACTTTTCAAATGGATCACTTTATCTAGTACCTTAATAATCTAAAGCAACTGAGCTCTAGAAATTATGGATAAGGGCAAATGATGAAGTTCAGCTGAAGCTAATACTTCAAAGAAAGAGAAAAGGGGCTGTGTATATTGCACTATCAAATTCCTGCCATGCAAAAATTAGCATACTGTAATTGTGCAAGCTCAGGAATTATTAGCCACAAATTACTGTCACCATAAAGATGTGAACATCCCTAAGACTGCCTTGGTGGGGATAGGAGGCTCGGGAAAGCGTTACGCTGAGGGCGATTTATTTTACCAACTTAGCATTTGGAAGCTGGGATTAAGGTGAAACAAGCTCAGTGTCTGCAGTGTTTTAATCTTGAGAAGCTACATACTCCCCTCATGTCCCCTGCCAAGACTGAGCTATGAGCCCCCTCTTGAGATTTACTGGGATGAGAGCCAGTCAGTAGAGGGAGGGCATGGGAGCATGCAATTTGTCAGGGAAAGAGTAACTGAGGATCACTGACCTGGGTAGCAAACTGAAAACCAGGAATATAGCTCTACCCATCATTTTCCAGATGAGAAGAGTGGGCCCTGTAAGGCAAGGCCCCAGGCTACCAAGTCAACCTATCACAGAGCTGAGGCCAGAATACAGGTTTCACAACTTCCAAACTGACCTTCCTGTGACAGGATGTACACTGGGAAGAGGGAAAAATGACCACTTAAAGAAACAGGGTTATGATAGTGGTAAATGACTGAGCAGAAAGAAAATACCAGGTAATTTGACACAAATCAACAACATCCCTGCAGACCAACATGGATACTGTTAACAGAACATTTTGGGACACTGCTATTCCCAACTCCAGCTATTAACCTCTAGGGTAGTTTCATATGCTGCATGTTTTCAGTTTTGGTGTTTTTATCACAATTAAAATGTTTCTGACTATGCTGAAGGGAAGCCCAAATGAGCATTTCAGTTACAGTCTCCTTTCTTCAACTGGTCACAAGAGAGGACCGTGAAAGAGACCATGAGCAGACAGCCTAGAGGATGGGGCTCCTGTCTTCTCCCAGGTAGGCAACACAGGAGTGGGATCATTCTCAATGGGGTTGATACTGCCCTCCAGGACACATGTGGTAACATCTGGAGACATTTTTAGTTGTCACAACTTGGGAGTACTACCCGTATCCAGAGGGCAGAAGCAAGGGATACTGCTATTACTAAGAGACCTTGCAGTACACAGGGCAACCTCCACCATCAAGAATTATCCACCCCAAACGTCAACAGTGCTGAGATTAATCCTCACCTAAAAGCAATCTTTGACTGAAGATGTAGATAGGGTAAAAGGGGTAGGGAGGCTGACAGGGCACTCTGTAGAACAAGAGAACCTGAGAGCTTCCCACCCGTCCATCAAACACCATAATAAAGGGCAAATTATTCCCTGTTTGACTTCATTCACTGTTTAACAGTGACCTATGCCTTTGCCAGGCCACAGAAGCTCTTTGGGATTTATGACATCGCAATGGCTGTTGGGCTGCACTTTTCAAGGGGAAACACTGTGTCAATCAGTTGTCTTTCTGCAAGTTTTTCAAAGGCTGATTTCCTAAAGGCCCATTTATTTGTTGACGTCAGCTTACTTTTTTCTTCAGACATCAGAGAAAGGAAAATAATTTGTCAGCTTAAATCTTGGTTTTTCCAGGAGATGGTATGCAAATAAGTATCAGCTTGCAACATTCAATTATTGTTAACTATAAACATACTTACTGGTTTATCATTCTCTGCTGGCAATTCAAACACACATCTAAGTTTTGAATCCATAAGGTCTTCCGGTTTTGCCTCCTTCCACTAAAACAATTTAAATTTAATAATCAAGATATTATAAAGCTGCAAGAAGAATAATTTTCTTCCTATGACAATTTCAGAAAAATACTCTTAATGAGAAAACCCCAATGCATATCAAATAAAGAACTAAAGTCTGCTGAGATTCCAATATTTGTAACATGACGAGAGTAAATACACTTGCCTTCTTGAATATTTATTACACTTCACAAACCCTGAAGACGTGCTGCCTGACTCCTCAAAGTCAACCAATGCTCCCCATGTTGCTACTCTGTGGGAGAGGCCCACCCCTGAACCAAAAGGAATCCTCTAAATAATGTCTGGCTGACCAGAGGTAACCTTGGTTCTCCTTATGAAAATAAAACTTATTTTAGACTGGGCATGGGGGCTTATGCCTCTAATCCCAGCACTCTGAGAGGCTGAGGTGGGAAGACTGAGGACTGATTGAGCCCAGCAGTTTAAGACCAGTCTGGGCAACGCAGGGAGATGCTGTCTCTACAAAAAAATTGAAACATTAGCTGAGCATGGTGGCACATGCCTGTGGTCCCAGCTACTCAGGTGGCTGAGGTAGGAGGCTCGCTTGGGCCCAGGAGGCAGAGGCTGCAGTGAGCCATGATCACACCACTGTACTCCAGCCCAGACAACATTGAGAGACTCTGTCTCAAAAATAATAAATTAAATTTAAATGCATATCCTTCTTAGAAAGTGTAAGCACATACTATCTGGGAGTGGTTTTAGAACCACTCTGCCAACCTCCAACGGAAAGCAATCATTACTAAATCCCTCCTCTGACACTGTGGCAGTGTCTCCATCCCTCCAGGCTGTAGTGAGAGCATCGTCCTAGCTAAATCCCATGTTCTAAGAGGATGTGCTCCTGATTACTTCTCCTCTTGGCAGCAGAAGATGGGAATTTCAGGGTACTCTAGGATTATAGACCAGCATAGCAGCAAGGTTATAATATAGAAAAAGAAGGCAACTCCCACCCTCTGTGCCTCCAACCCTTCCCAAAACTATGCAAGAGGCAGCTAGTGCAACACAGGTACCAAGAACCAAAAGTAGGGAATGATCTATACATCTGACAATAGGGAATTGCCACAAAAATTATGGCAGATCCGCTAAATACAATAGCATGCTGCGACTCAAATGATGCAGAAGAGCATTCAGTTAGATGGAGGAAATGTCCAAAATATTAAGTGAAGAAACTGAAAAGAATACTGAAGTCTGCTCCTCTGCACACACACATCTGTACATGTATGCCTATGCACATGTGTCAAAAGAACATCAGGTAAAGATCATCACTGAATGCTAAAGCCACCAGGAGAAAGACTGCTGGCAAACAGGATATTCATGTGGTCTCAGAGTCAGATGATTCAAGAGTATCACAGATTACCTATTAACCACAGGGGCAAATGTGCTTTGTGCTATGACAGTGGAGAGAGCTGGCAGTCGCCATCTTAACAAAGTGATCAAACAGCATCACCAACAGCAGGACAACGTGGTATGAAATACCAACTATGAAGTATTAACTATGGAATATTCTTGCCAAAACACATTTAACTTTAATTTAATCATAAAGAAATAAACAAATCCAGAATACAGGACATTCTGTAAGTCAACTGGCCTGGACTCCAAAAAAAAAAAAAAAAAAAAAAAAAAAAAGTTCAAAGTTTGGGCAGAGTGCAGTGGCTCACACCTATAATCCCAGCACTTTGGGAGGCAGCAGCAGGGGGATCACTTGAGCCCAGGAGTTCAAAACCAGCCTGGGCAACACAGTGAGATCCTGACTCTACAAAAAATTAAAAATTAGCTGGCATGGTAGCATGCTTGTAGTTCTAGTTACTCAAACAGCTGAGGTGAAAGGATCACTTGAGGCCCGGAGGTCGAACCATGATGGTGCCACTGCACTTCAGCCTGGGTGACAGAGCAAGACCTTGTCTTTTAAAAAAAAAAAAAAAAAAAAAAGTTCAAAATTTGAAAAACAAAAAGGTTTGGGCTCTCTACTAAAGGCCATTTTTAGAACAATTGGAAAATAATGACTGAATTTATTACATAATAATACGGAATTAAAGTTAATTTTTTCAGTTATGATTAATAGTACCATGGCTATATAAGAGACTATCCTTGCTCTGGAGTATTTAAGGTAAAGTGTCATAAAATCTGCATCTTAAGCAAATAAGAAAGTTTTTGACAGAAAGGAAACAAACATGTTAACAAATGACAAATCTAGGTAAAAGTTATATGAGTGGTCACCATGCTATTTTTTCAACTTTCTGTATATCACAATAAAAAGAAAAATATTTTAAAATAAAGAAAAAGCAGACCAGGGGCAGTGGCTCATGCCTGTAATCCTAGCACTTTGGGAGGCTGAGGTGGGCAGATCGCTTCAGTCCAGGAGTTTTGAGACCAGCCTAGGCAACATGGAAAAAACCTGTCTCTACAAAAAACACAGAAAATTAACCAGGCATGATGGTGTGCTCCTGTGGTCCCAGCTACTTGGGAGAATGAGGTGGGAGGATCGCTTGAGCCCAGGAGGTGGAGGCTACAGTGGGCCAAGATCACTCCACTGCATTGCAGCCTGGGTGACACAGTAAGACCCTGTCTAAAATAAAATAAAGGCAGAAAAAGCACAAAGTTCTCATTAACAATGGTTAGGCATAGTATGGGTATGCCTAAAAGAACTATGGGTAACTTTAAATTTTTTTCATTTGTATATATTGAAAATTTCCCACATTGTACATTTTATATATTAAAAAAATTTAAACTGTTATAAAAATCATCATATAAGGAACTAAAACGACCCTTTACTGGATATGTGATGCCTGGCCTACTACACTCTGATAGGCAAGTGTAAGACACTGGACCGACCAGGCACTTACACAAGGCACACTTCACACTCACCACTATGTGAGCTGCATTTTTATCCCTATTTTACAAACGACCAAAACATCGACAGAGTTAATAAAACCTGCTCCCAGCCACAACGTTAGTAAAAGGAAGGACTCAGCTCCAAAACACACAAGCCCATGCTCTTTTCACTAGGCCATGCAGCAAAAGCCAAATAGAACACACCCTTGGATCTTCCGTATTTTCTATCTGCCATGTTTCCTTGCTCACACAAATTAACAGAAAGTAATACATCATGTTGCAGAAAATCAAAGAGAATGTTTTCATAAGAATTGTTCTTATGAAAAGAAGACAACCTATTATCATTGACCTCTCTATAACTCAAAAATGTCTGGCCTACAAAGTGAAACATAAGTGGAGGTCCTTTTTCAGAACTAAAATAAAAGGCTTTGTGGCGATACAGGGCATGGGGTGGGTGTGGCTTGAGCTGCCCTTGCTATGAAACTCAGACAGAGGAGAATTGCAGTATGGTGTGAGGAACAGCTGACTCAGGTGGGCAGACCTGCCTTGGATGACTTGGGGCTCTCTTTTGGGCTGGCCAAAGCTGGAAAGCAATGCAAGTGGTATGAGGCAACCCTATCCTGCTTTCCTGAACTGCAAGGACAAGCGCATCTGTCCCTGCTGGGGCTGTGGGTTGTAACATTTGGAGATTTCTATTCAACTCCCAGCCCCAGAATGCCTATGGATTTATTAAAATGTATAAAAAGCTCACTTTGGGGGGAATGTCCATTATATTCTCTTATTTTTCCCAGAACCATCACTAATATTTATTTCATTTACAAAAATAAAGGGTCATCTTAATTTTACCAAAATTAAACATATATTTAAAAGCAGGGGGGGAAGGAAATAATAATACTTACTACAACACCCCCCCCACTTCCGCACACACAAACACAGTCTAAACAGGTGAGAACATTCAGCATTTTGACACTCTCACATGGCTCTGAGTTTGTGAGGGATGAGAAGACAAGGTAAGAAACAGGCAGGACAATGAAAGTTATCCTTTTCTGTCAGGGCAGAAAGGGGAGGTAAAAGAAGACAATCCCTAACCATTCAAGACACCATCCACCAATGCAAGGAGCTGATGAAGCATACTGAGCTCAGAGAAGTCAGAAAAGAACAGCCTTCTAGAAAGTCACATAAAATGTTAAAATTATTCCTCAACGTTTTAGAAAAACCAGAAAGCAGACAAGGTACAAACCTCCTTAAAAAAACTATTCCCTTTTAAACAATTTTGACATATTTTGAAATGCATGCACCCACAATTCCATATCTATTTGGTTTTTAAAATTATTATTACTGAAAAAAATAAGAAGCATTCAGTACTTACTACTGCTTCCATATCTGAAGTGTCAGTTGGAGCAAACATAGACTGAACCATAAACTTGTGTTTACTTTTCTCATTGGGATCATAATCGAAAGGCTGTAACATCACTGAGAAAGAAAATATTTCATTAGGAGGGTCAGAGCTTGGTTGTCAGTGCCATTTGTTATGCTAATACTTGTACTTTGGTGTAAAGCAATTTACCAGCATTCTCTTATCTCTTAGGATGGACGCCCCTGGTGAAGTGAGCAAGGACGACTAACATCTCCATTCTGCAGGTCACCAACCTAAGAACCACAAAATCAGGGCATGACAGAGCTGGGAGTAAGCTGAGGACCTGGTCTTCTGATTCTTAGTCCAGGGACCTTTCACTACCGCAAGCCTACCATAAATGTCTGCTATAAGCCTTACAGAATCGGGAACCTGGGTAGAAACACTTTTGCCTGTTTTGCTCAAGAAAACATATCCAAATGATCTTTTTGGGAATTAGATAGAATAATCTAAGATGTTTAAGAACATTTAAGGAAATGTTTTAGCTTCTCTCCAACTCATTTCTCATACAGCTAATCAAGGTAATCCTTGAAATACAATTTTGCCAATAGAATGCTAGAAAACTTTTACAACCAGGACACTCACAGAGCAGGGAAGACAGCTTACACTCCCGCTCTTTCCCTAAAAACCTAGAGAAATCTCACGCAGAGGATCCTGTGGATGAGTCACACCCAAAGCAGGGAGGAAGGTGCCTTCCTATGCTGACTGGCTCCCTTCAGCCTACTTCGTAGAGTAAAGCTGGGCCTACTATCAAATGATGGCTGCTTTAAAATATGTTACTTTGCTACAAGGCTTTGGCTAACCCACACATCTAGCTAAGTTCCCTGAAATAACTTCACATGCAGGGAAAGCCTACTGTGGCCTTGACCACAACAGTGGGCATGGACTGAGTGTTTCCATGTGCCAGAAACTAGGCTCTGTCCTTTAGATCTACCATGATCTCATTTAATTCTTAAAAAGTAGGTACTATTGCAGGGGGAGAGGGGTTATTCTGGTGTCTATTTTTCAAATGAAAAGAATGAGCACAGAGAGATGAAACTGCCCAAGGTCACATCTAGGTGGAGTGCAGACCCAAACCTAGGCAGTTGGTATGGAGAGCCTACGCTCAAAGCCACCACAAAGGACTGGTGCCTTGTCCTCTGACAGTACAAGTCTTACCCTTCTCAGCACAGGGCTTCCACCACCTTTCTGCTGGGCCCTCATCAGCATTCTCTTCCCTTGAAACTCCCACTTAGGGCTTCCCAGGTGCTTCGTCTAGAGCCACACAGTCAACCACAGCCAGCAGCAGATAGAGAGCAGGGTAGCCCTGGTCTACAAATGAAGAATCTGGGACTCCATAAAGTGAAGTGGCTCCTTCAAAGTCACAATGTTAGGAAGCAGCAACACTGGGACAAAGAACCAACACATGATGATTCCAAGTACAGTCGAGCATCCCTTTCACCACACTAGTCACTCCAACATGAGCTGGATTTATATCTGGCACCCAGGCCCCAGGACAAAGCTAATGGAACCATTCAAGACAGAGGATAGAAATACCAACTTCACCCATCCATCTTAGGGATGCAGGGGCACTTTCCATCATGGAACAGAGAAAGGCCACTGAAACCTAACCAAGCATTGGATTTAAATGTCCTGGTGTCCCTAGTCACCCAGACAGCTTCACTGCCCACAAGGCTTCCTGTGCCCTGAGCTACAGGAAGTCTTGCTGGGAGACTTTTACAGGACAAAATTCAGTTAACTGTCAGAGAGTAAATCTTTTATCAACATTACTCTTTCTCTGGCATCACTGAGCTGGCAAGAGCTGAACTTTCCTATAGACAGACCTGGAACATTTACCTACCTGGGCATGACACTTAACCTCAGGGACAAATGACCAGACTGGCAGGTCAATGCTTCTCTGAAAGTGAAATTCCCAATGTGTTTTTTTTTTTCCCGTCCCCAAGAGCCAATGTCTTCACACGCTCTGTGAACTTTCCTGGACAGGGACTGTCAACCTTCTCTGGAGCTGGGACACACTGGTAGATTAATGTTCACTTTCTATAATTACAGTGAATTCAGTTTGAAGAATTTCAGGTCTTGTTTGGCTGTGACAAAATCATGTTTTGGTATTTTTCAGTTTAGGAAAGAAGAGAACTTTCACCTGAACTACTTTTAGATTTCTGGCAGGGCACAGGTCTAGTACTAAACACTGCCTCACCCTTGAGCCTCTGTTCTCCAAGCTGTGAACAGTTGTTGCACCACCCCCATGTCCACCACTCTGGAGAGCCGTGAGGAGGAACAAGGTTTATTTGTAAAAAGCCCTGTCACGCTCATATGACAACAGTCCAAGGAAAATGCTAATCTTTAGAGAAGCTATTTAGATGAAAGATGAAAATAATACAATGGGTCCCGAGAAGAGAACACACCCCCAAAAACAGCCCCAGGAAGCTCTACCTGCCCCTTCCCATTTGTCACCTTCCTAGAGGCAGTGGGGGTAAAAATGTGCAGCCAAGAGCACCGTGTCCAGAGCTCTGCCTGGGTTCTAAGGAGGCCCCAAGGGAAAAGAGGCCCTTCCTTTCTATTTCTCCACCACCCCTCAGCTTCTTCATCCCCAATACTTTCATGATGCCCCAAGAAGGAAAGAAAGGAAAAGAACCTTTACTTGTGCCTACTGTGTAATAGGTGCCATCGAAGGCAAATTCTCCTTAGTTCTCCCACTTAATACAACAATTCATCAATGCAGTACATGCCTCCTTTTTCTAGATAAAAAGACAAGGACTGTCAGGTATGGTGGCTCACACCTGTAATCGCAGCATGTTGGGAGGTCAGGGCAGGAGGATCACTTGAGTTCAAGACCAACCTGGGCAACAAAGCAAGACCCCATCTCCTACCCCCAAAATATTAGCTGGGCATAGTAGCCTGTAGTCACGGCTACTTGGAAGGCTGAGACTGAGGTGGAAGGACTGCCTGGGCCTGGGAGATGGGGGCTGCAGAGAGCTATAATAGCGCCATTGTACTCCAGCCTGGGTGAGAGAGCAAGATCACTTTCTTTTTATAAAAAAAAAAAAGATAAGGACTTAGAAAGGTGCTAAGTGGGCTCACCTGGGTCCCACGGCCAGCATATTAAACAAGAATGCCAGGGTTCAACCTGGCTTTGACTCTAGAGAAAAACAATTTACAGTAGTTATTGCCAATGATAAAACATAGGCTTTCAGGCAAACATCGTATTTGTGGAAAACTTTTATCTGCCAACAAGACCTTCATGGTTTTGCAAATACAGACTTTTCCAATGAGATCACCAGGAAGAGAAATGAATGTGATTTTTTTTTTCTGCTATTATATGATGCAATATGTCAACATTTGGAAGCTCTGCAACATGGTTTCCAAATAACCCATGCATGGTATCACAAAATCCATTCAAAGTACAAGGAAGACTGATGTGTTTTAGTGAAACAATGTTCAAAAAGTCACAGACATGGCTTCAGATTCCACATCATACTAATAACCTTGAAGAGAGTAACACTTGTCAAGTTTTGGTGTAGTATCAAAGAAGAATATTCAGATTTATCTGAAAAAGCAATTAAACATACTCTTCCCTTTTCCAACTACGTATCTGTGGTGAAAGCAGTTTTTCTTCATATGCATTCACCAAAAGAACATATCCTAACAGACTGAATGCAAAAGCAGACATGAGAATCCAGCCTGTCTTCTATAGAAACAGACATTAATGAAATTAGCGGTAGGGCGCAGTGGCTCACGCCTGTAATCCCAGCACTCTAGGAGGCTGAGGTGGGTGGATCACCTGATGTCAAGAGTTCGAGACCAGACTCTTCAACATAATGAAACCCTTTCTCTACTAAAAATACAAAAATTACCCGGGCACAGCGGTGCATGCCTGTAATCCCAGCTACTTAGGTGGCTGAAGCAGGAGAATTGCTTAAATCTGGGAGGCAGAGGTTGCAGTGAGCCAAGATTGTGCCACTGCACTCCCGCGTGGGCAACAGAGCAAGACTCTGACTCAAAACAAAAAGAAAAAAGAAAAATGAAATTTGCAGGCCAGGCATGGTGGCTCATGCCTGTAATTCCAGCACTCTGGGAGGCCACGGCAGGCGGATCACCTGAGGTCAGGAGTTTGAGACCAGCCTGGCCAAGAGGCAAAACCCTGTCTCTACTGAAAATATTAAAATTAGCTGGGCATGGTAGCAGGCACCTGTAATCCCAGCTATAGTAGCACGATCTCGCCACTACACTTCAGCCTAAGTGAGAAATAAGTCAATGTAGTTAAGTAATAATACACTGGTGGCTCTGTCAAGTACTCCTCTTGGGATAATCTGCAGTTTAAAAAGAGAAAGATTTACACAAACCAGGTCTTGAGTTTTCAGGACATACCTGACCCTCAGGTGAAAACAGAAGCACACTCGCATGCACACACAACCCTTACAGAAGGGCTGGACGTTCCCTGTGCTCTTCTAATCAAATGCCTTTGCAACTGCTTGCTCTACCTCCACAGAAGGGCACTGAGATACACTGCCTCCTTACTGCAGACCTTATAGATGTCACCAGCACAACTCCAGGCCTAGAACAGCTTACCTACCAAGTCATCACAATGTAGACATGGAAGGACCATTTCACGGGCAGGGGAGAAGACATTAATAGACACGCAACCATACAAGCCAGTGGGTGTAAGCAATCACTTTAAGGAAGCCCCGGCGACAGTCTGAGGTAGCAGGTCCTACAGCCCTTCTGAAAATGCAGAGGACTCAGGAGATCTATACACAGGTGCCTAAATGCACTGGTGAGTGGAAACTTTTCAATTGGGAGTAAAAACTGTGCCCGATTGGCATGTCAATTTTCAGGAAGTTCTGCATACTTATGGGAGGTTTTGATCTGATAAAAGTTTCTCCACTTTGAAAAAAAAGTTTAACAAGCACCATGCCATATGATTCATTTTTTTAAATCTCAGAATCTCATCTTTGAAAAGAAATCTCTCCACATTTTACACTCCTACAATCTCAGCTCAGGCCCCACAGACTCACTTCTAGATTTCTACCAGCCTAGAACAGCAAGTGGGGGTGTTTGC